TAAAGAATATAATAGTGCTTATTTTAGATATATATGTGTGACAATTAATTTGAATTTTGTGAATAAATACTCACTAATTCAAGCACTGTAAACCATTTAATAGATTCTCGATCAAGTTGGGTGTGAGATGTGGGTGAAAAGAACACCGACAACCACACCCACATCTGTACCTATATCAACACCTAGACGCCTTGACATCCTGTCGCCGATTGTGCAAGGCGTTGTAGATATACGATCTTTGACCGTATGTCAATAACGTCTTGTTATAATATGTGAACTACTTCCTGGTTTCCGTTTTAAAAGAATAAGTAAAATTTTGGTTTAGAGATCTGCTGAAAAATCGATAAAATAAAACAATCTCTCTTTGATTACCAACAGCAGCTATATTGTGCTTCACATTTTAATTCTGTAGAGATTGCGCTATGTTAAAAATGTTAGATCATCATTGACAATATTATTTAAATTATATCATCGACACTTCTAATTATTAATAAATATACGTTTAGATCAAAGAACAATAAACTAACGCACAAACGGAAGTAAGTGTTTCAATAACTGATAAATCCATTGTTTCAATAAGATCTTTAAACGATGATGCATAAGAAAGATCATAAAAACGTATTTTTGAAAAAATATAACAAGTATTAAAATAAAATACATTTTCTTTATCGTTTAGACATACTTGGTGATATATGACTTCTTCTTCTATTAATATTAATTGTGGACAAATCAAATCGTTTTGTTTGTACTATGAAAAGAAACGCTAATTAAATCTATTTTTGTTTCTTTAATCTACCTACATGATCTAATTGTTTTGCTAAACAAGATGATCATGTCAAACATCATTTAACATCGAATCAAACTTAGCGGATGATGTAAGTGAATATTGATATATTAATGTATCTATACCATTCATTTATTGAATATATACTTCTATTAGACAAAACATAACACAAGATCATGGAAATTCTTCAATCATTTTGTGTTGATTATTAAAACGACGTACAAAACTATAAATCTTAAAAATGAAAGTAAAAAAGTGTGAAAATGTTTTTTATTATCTATTTTAAATAAAAAGAAAAAAAATAGAATGTTGAAGAATTGTAATTAGGATTTAACGTGTTTCATGATAGATTATATTATCTGATCAAAGTAGATTTATTTTTGACAATAATAAAGCTAGATTGTTATGAATACGAGAAAAAAGTGCATGAAGAGATGTAAGACCAATATTTTCATTCGAACGCCTGTTACATTAGATAAAATAAAAAATATACAAAAATAACTTCATTTTTTGATGATCATAAATAGACCTCGATCAAATAAAGAAATTCATAATTTAAAGGTCATACGATTTATAAGATGTTGAATAAGGCGTTACGCGTACAAAATATTGATGTACAGTTTCTCTTTAGATTTTTTATCCGTGATATTTATCGACAATTATGCTAGCACCAGGAACCATCTAAAGGTGAAGTGTTTCATTGTCAATGGATGTCAAATGATGAATTGGATAAACTTTAAAAAATCGGTCAGATATTTTCGATGAATTCTTTTCTCTCTAGTAGTAAGAAAGAACACATAGCGCACCAACTTCTCGAAAATAATTCAAGTCCACTGGACAGTTTATACCGGCAAGTCTTATTCAAGATTATTGTTGATCTTCAAACCGTTACTACTAAACCAGTTGCCGATATAAGTCGCTTAAGTGTGATGAAGAATGAGTTTGAAGTCCTCTTCATGATTGGTTCGATCTTTGAATTTGGAAGCCGCTCAACAAGATGAAGACCATCATGACCGATTGACTATCATTCAAATGTCATTTTGCGAAGACAATTATGAACTCAAGAAACTTTACAAACACATGGAAAACGAAAATGACATCGAAGAAACAAATCTTCTCTTGCTTGGCAATATGCTGAGATCAATGAAAAAATTGTCCATGCCGAAAAGTATGATTATCGTTTGCTTCATAAACTTTCTGAAGATGATCCTATTCTCACTGATGTGTATGATAATCTTGACCTGGTGGCCAAATTGATATATGCCTATGATAAGAGCTTGGACTTGTATCAAAAAGCACTAAAAAGTTTCATGAAACGTCGCCCATCGGATTATGTTATCATTCCTAATATACACACCAGTATCCGTGAAGTTTATTGGAAAACTGGTAATCAGTTTCAAGTACTTGAATCATTTAAACAAGCTGTGAAAAGAACAGAAAAATCATCCTGAAATATTGGTTTTCTATGCTAGGTCACTAGTGATTTTCTCATAGAAATTGAGGCTCTTTATACGAAAGTACAGGTGAATTCAAATTAGCATTGGCATTCTTTCGTAACGCATCGAAAATCTATCATGCAATGTGGCCATCCGATCATCTCGATGTTGTTGAAATTAATGAAGATATTAAACTCGTTTAAAATCAGCTTGAACATGAGTAGAACTAATCGTTATTTTTATTTTGCAGAGGATACTTTCATTTAGAAGGTATTTTCCTTTGTTTGTCATCTAATCACGCTGAAATTATTTACGTGGATAGACTCTGGTCTAATACATGCCTACATAAAATTGAATCATGACTAGTTATTGCGTTCAAGAGTTTAACTAGCGTTACAGCCAACAGTCTGATAATAGTTTTCAGCGTTCAATCCACAAGCTGTAACAATTGTGAAAAGTATTTTGCCAGAGGTATTAAGATGCTCTGTCTTATAGTTTGTGTTTTTGAGGCCAGAGTATTCTTGTTTGAAGCGGAAATTATCCAAAATTCTTATCACAAGTGGCTTGTCGAATTATTATACTCGGGAATTTGTTCATAAGAGGTGTGTCAACCGTGAAAAGTAGAATGCCACATAAATTTTGACAAGCACTGTATTATGATGTGTGTTTCCAGTAATAATTTCACTTGATATAGCCATAATTCTCGAACATTCGGTTTACAAATTGATTTTCGAATCATTATTCTTCAGTAATTCTTCTGAAGATTGAGCCAAATAGTCCTGTATGCTCTCTCTAATAATGGCAAAACTTGAATTTTGGAGAATTGTCCTTTCATGCACTAAGACTTTTCAACAATAGCTAAAGTCGATTAGGATAACCATGATAATGTAAGTTTTTCTTTATCTTATTAAAATGACCGCTTTATGCAGAATATTTATAAGTATTGGCTATTACAATAAAGAGCATATTAATTTAGTTTTATGAAAATGAGTCAATTGATGAAATTTGTCTCGATTCTTAATGAAGATTTTTAAAATAATATTTCTTTTTTCTAGATAATTAATCAAGTCAGTTATTCACCATATCAAACATTGTTTATCACGGATTATGTAAATAGTCAATTATCCATTAGAAATTGTCTTGCTTTAATATTTGTATGAAATAAGAAACTAGATTTTGGTCTAGATTAATTTTAGTTGCATTTTTTTTTCTTTGAAGGTATTCATCAAAAGATGCTGCTTGCATTATACTAGCATGCAATCTAGGTGAAACTCATCGATTTACTTCTTATACAATGCTTGTCGGTTCATTTTTTTCAAAGAGCACATTAGACAAAGGAAAGGCCAGGCTGAATACGTTTAAAATTCTACACAAAATGTTATTTCTTTCAAAGAAAGAGACGATGAAGAGTATTCACACGATTGGGGCACATTCTAAAAATAAATTTCTAGACATTGGATACGATTTAGAATGGCTTTTCTCAAGTAGATTTCTTTTTCTCTTATCTCTCAAATACTTTATTTGATATTTGTAGCAAGAAACTATTGTTGAAAAGATAACAATGAATAGAGGAGATGACGACAAATTTAAAAAAAAAATCCTCATGTTAAAAATGAAGTTTTTGCTTTTTTATATTTAAGAGTCCAAATCAGTTGTATATGATATACAACAAATGATAGAAGATAAAGAATGTATTCGAAAATGATTTGAACATGCATCATCAATAATTATTGAAACAAAAAAAATCAATTGAATTACAAGAATCCTTTCAATCAACATCAAAATATTATTGAATTCGATTTTTTTTATTTAGAACAATATTGGTGAAATAATGTTATAGTAAAAAATTCCAATATTTCTTCATGATGTATCTTAATATCATTGTTCAATAACAATTGAGGGTGTATATGTAAATGAGCGCGTGTATTTACATGTACTTGAAGTCGAAACCCTTACCCACACCCGAGAAAATTCATTTCATAGATGTGAACAGATTTTACACTTCGATTGTAATCGACAGCAGTGTTCGGGCCACAAGTCATTGTTATCGATATTAGTCTATTATTTTCTCCCAGCTTTCTAACTTCAATACCTTCTTTTTGTCCTTGTTTTTAGAACATGTATGCAGGTTTTCTAATCTCTGCAAGAACCAATAGGTTGATTCCAATCTGATACATACGGGAATGAAGAAGGATTACAAGTATTAAGTAAAATTTTATTCATTTATGTCGAGCAAAATACCGTGCGAGCTGTCGTGGCATATGACTAAAAATGTCAGTAAAGGAGCTTTGATTTCTTCAGTGAAGCCGTTTCATTACGTTGTACACTGAAATTTCGTGAGGGTCGTGCTGAAAAATTCGTATCTCAATTTGCAAATAGTTCTCCAGTGTGTTATTCTTCGGATGCTAATCCTTGAAAACCATGTTTAGTTTAATGTCAAACAAAGTATTTGAATGTCATCACAAAGTAAATGCTCTTTTCTCCTTCAATATAAATTGATGTACGAATGAAACATACGAACATCGATCTGTACTTACAGTAGTCAACAAAACTTGATCCAATTGAAAAATGAAGCACTTCACAATAATATTGGTTGTCATCGTCGTCATAACTTTATTACATTCTGCAACAGCTTCAACAGGTACTGTTTATTGTCTTGTATCATTTTCTAAAGATATGAATCCAATGATTCCAATGGTTAAATTCTATTTTATTGCCTAGATCAACTTCCCAGTGTTGTGCAGCTTGTAAAGAAAGATGACCGATTCAAAATCTTGGCCATGTCACTGGAGGCTATTGGTGTGACTGAAGAAACTGAGACGGACGGTCCATTTACTTTATTTGCTCCAAATGATGCAGCTTTTAAGAAAGTACCACAAGATATTTTTGATCGTTTATCGGACCCAAAAAATAGGGAGGAACTTGCCTTAGCGATTGGATACCATGCTGTTGCTGGTAAAGCCTTAACTGCAGCTCAAATACAAGCCATGAGTTTACCTGCACGATTGGAGACTATAACAGGTGAGTTTGTCACAGTGACCAGACAGAATAATCAAATCAAAGTCAATGATGCAACAATTATTGCAAGTGATATTGTGGGTAGCAACGGCATTATTCATGTCATCGACAAGGTTTTGATGCCTCCATCTAAAAGTGACTAAATGAGCGACAATCGCGTGTGGCGATTTGTTCCATTTTACGCTCCAATGTGTGTGAATGGGATGCTTATACAAGTTTTTTTTTTAAAATAGAGATGAACGAAATTAAGGACGAACGATACTGCCTATATTTTTGATCATGTCTTCAAATGTCATGCAGACTCTGTTTCTCAAAGTGAAAGGATGAATCTTTTGTTGCAACAACACTCAATCATGCAAAATCCATTTGTTAGAACATTCAAATATGTTTTTTGTATGGAGAAATTGGTTTTCGGGCTACCATATACGGCATCCACTTATTTGGTATTCTATCTGCCATAAACCAGCTGAAACACGATGCTCTCGTTTATAGTGTGGTGGTGGTTGTGGGTGTGTGCAAGCGTGGTTATGAATGTCTTACCTTTACTCATACCTACACACACACACACATGCACGCAATTTCAAACAGTAGAATGTTTCTTTTTGACATTTTATTTTCGAATTTATTCAAATGATTTACTTATTCCGTATACAATGAATTTTATGCGACTCTTGCGGAATAGAGAGACTTGACAATACTGTGAAAAAATGATTTCATACTCTTCAATAATGCAATGATGAAATTGTAGGATTAGAACTTCGTTTCATACTCACTGGTAGAACTTGATGTATGTCTTAGACAACGTGTTTCACTTTACTCCTTTGTCAATCAGAGCGTCATTTTTCGCCATAAACCGGCAGGTAGGATAGAGAATTTTGTCACAGATCTTTAGTTTCCGTCGGATTTGTATTAAAAGGCATAAATGTATCGCATGATGATTACATGAAGATATTTAGGATGTATATGTGGGTGTGAACTTGGTTGTGTCTTTTCTTGGCGCACACCCACACTATGTTGCTGAATATTGGATTGTGAAAAACGTCACAAGAAAAAATTTCTATCAGAGATGCCTCACTATTGTGTATGACAACTTCACTAATATACTCAAAAGCAATAGAATTAGACAAAGAATATTGGTCAGATTGGTTAAGATTGAAATTCTGTTCAGATATAATTTTTGATATTAGTTTGAACTTACACGAAGCAAAACTTGTAATTAACGAAGAAAGTGAATGTTCCTTTGATCACGCTGATACTTATTTCTAAGTGATCAAAAGTATCTAAAGAGGATGGAATTAAGCAGCTTTTGCAAGCCAAGAATTCCTTTGTTTTCATGATAGTTTCGGCTAAAAACTGAACGATTACTTTTTCAAATTAATTCAGAAGGAACAAGCTTCTAATAAAATAACTTTTCTTTTTGTTGTTGTTTAGGTTAGAAGTACATCGAAGTTCTCGAATTCAGTCCATACCCATACATTCTATGATAGAAAAGACGGGGATGCACCAGAAAGGATATCACTTCACTGACGTTTTTACATCCTGTAATTCTGGAAAAGAAAATGATAGAGCTCGAGGTTACGTATGCTTTCGTGTTAGTTTTGATGTACTTCAATGCTAAATTATTAAATTTGGTTAAGAGGAGAAATCGACTTAGAATATCTCACTATTCTTTGCAATGATTGAGGGTAGCTGGATGGGTAAGAGTGCGGGTCTTCTCTTCACTCTCACCCATCCGTCTTCAAAATTGGCTTAAAAAATAATACGAGGTTGCCAGACTATCGATGCTTCTCTGTCAAGTGGTGAAATTGCATTTACCGATATAACTCCATATACGCACGACCAAGATCCTCAAACCAATTTCGATCTTATTCGCTACCATTCGAAGCCATTCTAGTTTTGGAGAGAGTCCCTTGTCTCCAAAGTTTCTTTTCTTAGTTTCTCAAAAATGACATTCTCGAATATTTGTAATTCAATGGCAAGCCGCTTCGAAGTATATTGGATATGATACAATCTCACGCATTTTGCTGCAGAAAAATTTATTGAAGATTAAAACATTTTAGAAATATGGGAAAGATCGTATTGTAGCCTTCTTACTGTCATTATTTATTTCAAATCTTTTCGCAATACTGGATTTAGAGCAAAAGTAATACATAAAGTCTTTTCCATATTGTTCTTTTCTAACTTTATTCGAGTAACTCCACGTATCGACAGCTCTTTATCGACAGTAGAAAATGCCATTTATTATTAATGATGACTTGTGTTAAATTTATTTTCCGAAATATCACACACTTGTAATTTTCCTGAACATTCAAAATATGCCTGTGAGAATTCATTGTGATCAAGTCTAAGAGCTTGCAAAGCTGGCAAGCTACCCAATTCTTTGAATATAGTACCATTCACATGGTTATATTGCATCTCCAATGTTGTCAGATTTCTTAGGCTCACAATTGATTCTGGGAATATTCCGCTAAGATTGTTGTAGCCCAAAAATAGATGTTGCAGATTTACCATTTGGCGTATAGCAGGACTAACAGCACCACTTAGTCCGTTTTTATGAGCATAAAACTCTTGTAGCTTTGTTATAGAGTACAAGCTTTCTGGAATTGTTCCCGATAGTTTATTGTTATCAATACGTAAAATGGTCAAATTTTGAAGTTTACCAATACAATCTGGTATCTGACCAGTTAGTTGATTGTCATGTAGATCTAACCATTGAAGGTTTGAACAATTGCAAATTGTCTGAGGAATAAATCCTATAATAACCATAAATATATTACTATTCCTTTGTTTACATCCTACTAAAAATTTAAACAACACGTTCATAGACTTAGCAAAGGATTAAAGATCATGCATTAGATAGAACCGTAATAGTCGAAAAAAATTATATTTGTCCCAAAGATTTACTCAAGTTGAATGCTCTATCGAGTCCACTCAAATACGTCCATTACAATTAGGTGTCACTTTTACCTTGTAATTTGTTCGCTTTTAACCATATGTTTTCCAGCTTCGAACACTCGCCTATATTTGGTATTAAACTACCACTAATGCTGTTGAAACTAAGATATAACGTTTTTAGTTGTGTCAGATTGCACAATGTTGCAGGCAGTGATCCATTTAATTCATTGTCGTATAGCTGAATTTCTATGACGTGATTTTGTTCATCGCACAACACACCGTGCCATTGACAGTAGGGAATGGTTGATGATAACCAGTTATCTTGACTTATCCAATCTGGGCCTGATGTGGATTGGTAAAAATCGACAAGTACATCACGTTCACTTATGGTTTCTATTGTCATCGGTGTTGTGAATAAAAAGATAGAGAACAGAAAAATCAAAATCATGATGATACCGTCTTTGGCGTCATTTCATTAAATTTCTGTTGTGATATATATGTACGTGATTATTTCGATGCAGATGTGTTTATTCTCAGAAGCCGCTTTATACTAAATGCGCATCGACCTTCTGTCGTAGATTATCGTTGTTAGCCCACACACTTAACTCGTATAGTCAACAAACAAGTTCACTTTTATGTTCTTCTTCGATCATCGTTCTGTGTATTGCGAATAAAAAAAAAGAGAGACCGAAAACACGAGAGCATATATGACCAACAAGCAAGCATCCAGGCAAACACAAAAAAAGAATCAGATAAAAAACACATATGCGCACAGGGTGTGATTGTGGGTGTGAGTGGATGGGTATGGGATTGTGGATTTGAGACTTGGGTGGGACGTGAGGGGATACATTGCCTTCCTGTAGGCTACATCTTACAGTCACAACCACATACACACACCCACATTTGTTTGATTGCACGAACACTAACTGCGTTCGAATGCTATATAAAATGGTCTTCATTGAGGATAGAAAATGCATTTCTTTAAACGCAGTTAAACATTATATTCAGGTAGCATTTTAAATTAAAAAATGCATCTAACACAAGAATTGATCCGTTTAAAAGAGTTGCAAATAAAAATCAATGTATCTGAAGGCGTTGAAATACCGAACAATGCCTTTAAACGCAAAAATAGCGTTTGCTATCTAAAAGCTGATGTTAGACCGTTCTTTAGTATAACAGTTGTTGTCATGGCCCGTATTAGCCATTTGACATTACGAATAAGGTTCGTTCAAAGCATGATTTATCTTGACAATGACCAGAAAAGACAATGAAGAGAGCGATTCTAGGCTTTGAGAATATGAAGTACTTACCAAGGTCAAATTACTGCTGATTATAATTTTGGAGGATGCAGTGTTTGTGGCTGTGTGGATATGAGTATTGGTCAAAATGGAACTGGCTCACTTACAAATCAACACTCACAGCTTATAGGGTGTGGGTGTGGATGTAAGTGTCGGTATAGCTCATTTCTTCACCCACAGACACACTCAAATCCTCTCGATAGTCATTTCTTAAAAATACTCGAAAAACGAGAGTGAGGCTGAAGATGGGTGAGTGAGTAAGTTTACAGTAAATCTGTGGTGAAAATTAGTTATGTAGGTGACTACTTACTGTTAAGCTCTTGAAGATGCCTACAGATTTCATCGGGTGGGTCTGCTGCTCTGTATTTGAAATTCAACGAAAAAAGCGAAAGTAATAACCTCCATATATTTTTATGCCAAAGAGGAAGGTACTATCTCTTTCGGCCATTCTCAAGGGTTTCGTCAAACAGTTTTAGGTCTGAATTGTACTGTTAAGATCGAATTGAGAGACAGCAAAACATTTCACAATATCGAAGTAACAAGTTCATAGCCATAGCAGAGTTCTTCGCATAACAGCGTACTTATTATGTCAAATAACAAGTCACTACTAAATTGTTGTTACTTTCTTTTGTTTGTGTTTGACTTCAGGTTATTTTCTTGTGTTCATATTGGTTTTACGTCTTTTAAAAGTTTGGTAGGTTTAGTTTAGAATAATCTAGTCTAATTGTGTTCTGGAAGATTCCTCGTGTACCCATTCAGTGCGATAGGTTTTTCGAAATATATCTAGAATGAGATGAACATTATTTGGCAATGTCGCACTATGTTGTATGTTTTCTTAATGGGTGTGAGTTTGTTTTGGTGATGATGTTGGTTTAGATGTGAGGATGAGAGTATGAGTCTGGAGTCTGCATGTGGGTAACATGAAGAGCTTCACGCCTAAAATCATAAGTTGAATTTACACACCTACTGACCGACATCCACGTCCAATCCGAGACTTCATGAGACTTGATGGAATTTTAACATATATTAAAAACTATAAACCAAAGACCTTCCGAGACTTCGTAGGACTTCGCGAGACTTTTAGACTTCATGAGACTTTAAAAATGAAGTCTCTGCTTTTTCCTCTCGGTCATGATTACGAACAATATTTTCATATACATATAGCTGTAGTTAACTAATTTTTGAATATGAATAAAGAATATTTCAATAATGAAATCGATTTTGATTATCATATACATTTCATTTGCTCAGCAAATGTACTTAATCAAAGGCAGAATGTTGATAAAGCAAGTGTACAAGTTGACACTGAATGACTTAATTTCACTGAACCATATTTGAATCCATTGTTAAAACTATCAAGTCTGATTAAATAATAAATATTCCTCTATGGAGCACACAAATTTTCGAAGAAAACTGTGCATATAAGTTTAAATTGAGGCATTTGCTGCTCCTCCCTATTGCAGATCTTAGCAACTGAGGACAATAATGTCAGATTCCTTTTCCAGACTTCATTATCAACGAAAAAAGGACTGAACAGCACGAATGATAACACTGAAACTGTTCTAGAGAAAGGTGTGAATGATGTATTAGTGTTTAGTATGGATGCCAGTATTGATGGGCGTTTAGATATGAGGATTTGTAAAGAGGTGACGAAGATCTACATCCACACCAATTAATTAATTTTTGTAAGACTGAAGCTCTCAATTTTATAGAAAACTATATGGAAAAATGAACTAATTCAAGTAATTTTTAGTATGATTTAAGCTGCAACGTATGTCTTTAATCGAGACACTTTGTGATCGTAAATATGTAATTTGTTGTACTATATACGTTGAAGATCTTTGAAAAATCATCTTTTTCTTCGTTCTGTAGTTGCTGGAACTTGCTGCATAGTCATGTATGATTCATACGAACTAAGAATCATAACAAGCCGATATATTTATAGAGAAGATTATATATACTGGCCAAATTGGGCTTCTTTTTCTCACCATCGGTGATCTACCCCGGCTTCCAGGAATCATTTGATTTTCTGGAAGTGAATCTTAGTTGATACTGACAATTTATTGCATGATTGTTCACGGATGCGACTCTACTTTCTTGTCTGTCAATAGAATATACTGCAATCCACTCCTCATAATTATTAAAACAGCATGTTGTAACATGCAATTGAAAGTATCGTTTTTAAATCTCATCGAAGTACAGGTGACGTAAAGTGTTTTGTTGATACTACAGTTTTGAGTTCCTCGTGAACCTAAAATGTCGGCCATCAGATCTTCTTGTAGCCATGAAACCGACGTTGAATTCTGCCGAAATTAGTCAAGTGTCGACTCAATCCTGCCAAATTCGCTCAGGCTGAATGAGAAATCTGTCTGCCAAAATATGGTAATTTTCTATGACAGGATTCAAGAACATCTGATAGGATGTGGTGCGGCAAGATATGTGATCTGATCGGATGATATCGTTTCTGTCAACGTAAGGACATCTGTAGTTGTGAGTGGAAACAATGACCATTGTTTGACGATTTGATATGTTCAAATTTTTAATTTTGATCATGTTGGAGTTCATTTTTTCGAATCCTTTAGTCACATAAACGAGAAATTCGATTGAGCTACCTTCCAAATTGAAATCAAGAAAATAAAGAGCATACATGGATGAATATGTACTCGAAAATAATCTTTCGTCGCGTTCTATTGTCTCAATATCGACATTACACAATCAAAAATTAAGTAGATCGTACGAACCACAAACAAAATCATACCTTTTCGCTTCAGGAATATAGTATCCTTTCGACTGATTACACATTAGTAGATAACATTTTCGCCATTTTGATTGATTTATCACTCTAATGAATGGTACAAAAGCGAATGGGTACAAATAAAGAGTCCTTCTGTGAAACACATAGCTCTTCTACAATGCAGTTAGGTTCAACGTCACAGAACATATTGATGTGTTCTCCAGAGAAGATCAATTTTGAGAATAATCACATCCATTCCAAAGTTGACTTTCATTTTCTGTCGAGAGATACTATCACAATTATGAGTGGTTCCACTACTTGTGTGGCATAGCATAGCCATTGAATATTTTCTTATGAGACAAATATGCATGAGAGCCAAAAGGTGTCAATCTTTACTCTGCAAAAATCAATATTTGTTTTATTTTTTTGTTAGAATAAAATTGAGTCTCCTTCTGTTTCTCGTAGCACTACTTATGCGGTCATATACCAACCCGTAGTATTGATGCATGGTGTCATGGCAACTGCTGATGACATGAATGAGCTTGGCGGTTGGCTTACCGCATCATTTTCAGGTATCTACGTTGTTTCGATCGAGATTGGCAATGGATACGATGATTCGTTTTTATTACCAATGAACAAACAAGTAGAACTCTTTTGCGCCACTGTTCTTGCTGATGAACATTTGCGTGATGGTTTCAACATGCTTGGCATTTCACAAGGTAGTCTAATTGTGAGAGGAGCTGTTGAACGATGTTCGCTGCCGGTCTACAATTTGATTACGATTGTCGGTGCTCCTCAAGGTATCTTTAGTGATCCCTCTCGTAGGTTGCTTCCTCGCCAATTTTGGGAATTAGTTTCAAAATATGCATATGAAGAGTCTGTCCAAAATGTGATTAGTATTACGGGCTTCTGGTGTGATCCTTTTCAACTGGAGAAGTACACAAATCGAAGTCATTTTCTTTCTAACATTAATAATGAACGTGAAGTTCACAATGAAACTTATCGTACGAATATGCTCAAGCTCAACGCATTTGTTATGACCTATTCAGACATAGATGAGGTTATAACGCCACCACAATCGTTGGAACCTGAAACATGGAATCAGTCACGTCAATTTACAGAAGATCTCATCGGAATGCTGGCATTGCGTGAACAAGGCAAATTGCATTAGTCCATTGGTCATACCCGTTATCAGGATTCTGAGCATGTTCCTGATAAAGATTTCTTTTTTCAAACTATTTTGCCATTTTTCAATGATACGCTTCCGTAGACGTTTGAATGTAAGATAAAACAAGCTTAGATGTCATCCATATAATCTTAGTCAATCACTGAAAACATCGAAACTGTTGAATATATCTACTTTTTGTGAATGGCATCAGAAGAGGTGATGAGTCATGCTAACAATAACTTTCTGCTATGATATATATTTGACGCAGTTTTTGGAATTTAGAAGTCTCTTTGAATATTATTTCTAACGCAATATGTGGTGTGCTTCTTTTGACTATACATTTCTGTAAATATATATTTAAACGGCTTACGTAATTGATCTGTTGATAGACACAAGACTAAAGTGATTTTGGCCGCGACTTTCTTTACTAAGAAAAATTTTCTCTTGTTTGACTGGTCGCTGTTGATAATTGTCGTTCGATCTTATTTGAATAAACTTTCACAAATCAAAATAATTTCTATCGAATAATACTTTTTCTTTGCGTTGCTTATAGGCTTTTTCAATAATACCCTTTTTACTATCGCGATAATTGCTTGGACTGGTGATGTTGAATCATTACCTCTTGGATGTAGCCCCATATTCATATCAAACTTGTAATATCCAACAATGGCTTTATATACCAAGACTTCCATCTTATTGTTATAAATACTACATTTCAATGTGAGTAGTCAAATATTTCTTCAACAATATTTTGTATTACAACTTAAATAGTTTGCAACAGATTAACACATAGTAACGTTTAAGGAACATAATAATAGGACATAATGGGAACCAAGTTGAAATAGTTATGAAGTCATCATGGCAATATATCAGAGAAACTTGAACTATGATATTGTCTCTTTGGGTGTGGGGTGTGGGTGTGGGTGTGGGTGGTGTGGGTGTGGGTGTGGGTGTAGGTGTGGGTGTGGGTGTGGGTGCGGGTGTGGGTGGGGGTGGGGGGGGGGGTGTGGGGCGGGCGGGGCGGGTGGGCGGTGAAGGGGCG